CTTCGATACAATATAAATAATACTGAAGTGTTATTGTTTTCTTGGCCAACCGATATATAATAGAAAGATGTGTAGAGATTCAGTACTTGAATACTAGTACTTGATTCCAAATCTTTATTTACTCTATATCATTCTTGTTTTCCAGAAATCAAACAAAACAATACAACAACCCAGTTCAGCTCCGTTGTTGACGGAAAAGAAAGGATTTCCAGATTCTGGTATTAGTGGAAGTGAAGCAGCTGCCAACTGGTTGACGTCAGCTCACAAAGAAGCTAGTCATAATGTTTCTGCCAAAACTATGGAGGCCATGTCTGTAAGTTAAATTAACATAATGTTTTCTACAAAGTGTGGTCACATATCCATAATTCACTAGAAATAAACCAACTAGAATTTAGAAAGGACAATTTGTCCCTATTTTAAACCCTATCAAAAAGCAGAAAAATCAACTATTATTTAAGATGATATGATATAAAATGGTGAAAAAAGATGATTACAAGCGTGAGCCAAATATGTTACAAAAAGAGTTATAACAATATTATAAAAGGTGATACACATTGGAATGAATTTAATGATGCAAAATATAAAAGAATGAAAACTGAATTAAAAAATAAAATCTGAACTAGCCATCTTTAGTCCATCTTTAAAACGTCATAATTCAGAAGGCAATTTAAGAGATTGGGGTAACAATTCCAAAGTGAACTTGCCCTATTATTAAACTTTCGTTTCATTGCCTCGATGAAATCTTGAAAATTAATTTAGGTTGATTTTTATTTTATTTAATAACTATATTTTAGAAGATATGGAGGATATTTTATTTATATTTTTACTCCAGTCCAAGTGATCAGCAAATTGTAAAGCCCAATATATATATGCCTGCGGCTTTCACCTGTATAAACAGCACTATATTCTGACTAAGGTCAAGGTTAGCGCTCTTCAAAGTAAAAACAAAAAGGGTCACAATTCATGACCTGTTGCTACCTACGCCATGACACACAACAATATAAACACCAGTCCAACATGTTAAGCGATCATATTTATTTTAGCGTTGAACTGTATGGTTAGTGTCTCACGAACGTATACTTGTCTTTCGTATTCATAGATCTGCGATAGTTAGATCAAGTTTTGTACAAGATGAGCCATAATAATAAGTCTACTGCTACTACAAATGACAATGATTTTTAAGGCTTTGATGGTGTCGACGTAGTCGATGCAGTTTTGGCAGTTAAAGAAAAATTCTAAATTTCATTCCAAAAAGAAGTTAGTAATCAAGGGTAAGAAGCCATCCAAAAATGTGTTATTTCCTTCGACTTCTTTGGATGATAATATTAACCAAAATTTTAAAGGAAACAGTCAGCTTGTTTCCATCTTGTTTTGAGCGGAAAGTTTGGCGATTTTACATGAATTAAGGATATGAAAGTACTCTTTTGTGTTCAAATAAACATTAATATGCTATGTGAAAAATCACTTGACGACCTTTTATCAAATATATAATTATAAGTTATCTTTATGATAAATGATAAGTGAACTTTGAAAGAAGGGATTATAAGAAAAATAAAAAAAAGACTAAAGAGTGGTTGTAGGCTTGGCCTGACTTCAGTATGAAAATTATAAAAAAAAAAATTTCCAGCACATTCATTAATTAAAACCAAGCAATTAAAAATAATTTTATAACATTAACAAAAACATTCCAATACAGGCTATAACATAAAAATCCAACATATTTTTTCAAGTTAGTGCCTATTCTGGATAAGTAGTCAAAGGTTTTTATGAAGACTCTGAAGTTCATCTATCCCTGGTTTATAATCGAGATTCAATAACTGTAAGAAGAGGACAAATACCAAGATTAGAAGTCTGCAAGAAATGGCCTCATTTCAAAGATATATTATCGACTATAATGCCTTATTAACCATATGTCAAGATTGGGCTATAGATTGGATTGAACTGCACAAGAGCCTAAAAGCGTCATACCTGGTAAATTAGATGAACCTTACGCAGTAAGGATTCTGTTAGGATAACCAATCCCATTTGTCATCAACAACATAATATATTAGGATGCAAGAAAGAAGTTGAACAGAAAGACCATTTTGTTTATAGGACTACAGTTAAAGAGCTAAATACTCATGTCAACCAGATGTTTGATTTAGATTTCAAAGAGAGAAATGAAGAAAAGTCAAGTTTATCATGGGAAGACAAACAATTTTTGAAGATAGCTCAAGACAAAATCAACCAACAAGATAATGGCCATTACCAACTTTACCCTTTAAGACAGATGATGTTATTTTACCTGATAATCGAAATCTTGCGTTGAAACAACTTAATGGACTCAAGAAACGTTTTAATTCTGAACTATAAGACTACTTAACTTTTATGAACAAGATTATTCAAAGTAGATTTGCTGAGAGTCCCTATTCAAGACATCAATAAGAATGATGGTCACAAATGGTTCATTCCTCATCATGGGGTGTATCATCCAAAGAAGAACAAGATTTGAGTTGTCTTTGATTGCAGCACTCAGTACCAAGACCAATCTTTAAATCAAAATCTACTCAAAGGGCCTGATTTAACCAACAATTTATCTGGAGTGTTATGTAGATTCCTGAAAGAAAATGTTGCTATAACCTGTGACAAGGGAAGCAATGTTTCATCAGGTCCATGTGCAAGAAGACGATGGTGATTTATCCAAAAATCCAGTTGAATATCACATGACTGTACATCTTTTCGGTGCCACATTGTCTCCATCATGTGTCAACTTTGCACTCAAGAAAACAGCCGATGATTATGAAAGTGAGTGTAGTCCAGATGCTGTTCACTTCATCCATAATGAATTTTATGACGATGGTTTGTCATCTGTACCCACAATTTCAGAAGATCATAAACTCATCCAGGATACAAGGGGATTATGTAAATGTGTAAAAAGAACTTCTTCAACTACTTTCACAAGAAGAAAAGGCAAAAGACATGATAGATTTGGATCTTTTGAACCAAGAACTCGCTATGGATAGAGCATTAGGCATACAATGGTGTGTAGAATCCGACAGTCTGATGTTCAGAATAACATTGAAAGATAAACCTTTAACAAGACAAGGAGTGTTATCAATGTTTTCTTCGTAATTTGATCCTTTTGGATTAGTCTCCCCCTTTATACTTGTTGGAAAAGGAATCTTGCAAGAACTTTGTCGTTATGGAACTGATTGGGACGAAAAGATACCAGACAACTTGAGATCGAGATGGGAGAAATGGCGGAACGATATTTTCAAAGATACCCAGTTGTTATAAACCCGCATCATTTGGATTAATCAAGAAAGCTGAATTACATCATTTTTCAGATGCTTCCCAAGATGGTTAAGGGCAGTGTTCGTACTTGAAACTAGTCAACCAAAATGATGAAGCCCACTGTTCCTTAGTATTAGATAAAGCAAGAGTAGCTCCTCTAAAACCAGTAACGATCCTAAGACTTGAGCTTACCGCAGATCATATGTCAGCAAAAGTTAATAGTTTCCTGAATAATCTTGATTACCCAGAGTTAACCAACTTCTATTGGACAGACAGCAAAGTGGTGTTGGGTTACATCTCTAATGAAGATCGGCGTTTCCATATTATATTTGTTGCTAATCTGGTTCAAGCAATTAGAGACATATCAAAACTGAACCAATGGTTATACATTCCTTCTGAAGATAATCCAGCTGATTTAGCTAGTTGAATTAGTTTAACAGCAGAAGGACTTGTGAAGAGTTAATTATGGTGGAAATCAGAATTCCTTTGGAATAAAAACTACTTACCTGATATTCAAGATACTGAACTATTACCTGATGATCCTGAAGTAAAATCATTTTTCTCTTTCAAGACAACAATAGACGAAGATTCAATTTTAGAAAGACTTTCTCTGTTTTCTAATTGGTTTCAAGCTAAAAGAGCTATAGCAGTATGTATCTGTCTTCAGAACAAAGCTAACCATAAACTGGTGCCCAAAATAAACAATGATGGTGGAAAATACATACCTGTTAATGTTGAAGAGATCCAGTATGCTGACAAGGAAATTATTAAAATCCTACAGAAACAAGAATTTGGTGAAGAATTGAAAACCATTAATGCTGCAGTCGCTACAAAATCTAATGAATACAAGATAAAGTCAATCAGCTTTATTTTCAAATTAGATCCAATTCTCTGTCAAGATGAAATAATTCGTGTCGGAGATTGCTTACAAAATTCTACATTCGAAGACAAGATCAAGAATCCAATAATCATACCAAGAAAATCACACATCACTGAATTGATAGTTAGCCACTACTACCTGGCTCTTTACATGGTATTGGGATAAAATATAGCATGTCAAGAAAGCGCCTGTTAATTTAAGTTACATACAAAATTAAACCAAACTGATTTATTTTTATTTTTATATAAGTTATTTGTAAATAAATAAAACAATATAATCCCAATTATGTTTGAAGAAGTACTACAATTGAACAATCAAAAAATTATCCCTATTCCTTTATAGACGGACGGTAACACCCGAAATAATGTAGCCCTTCTTTGAGCAGCCAGGTTATCAAGAGAATTATCTGCACGCTTATAAAAAATCAATGAAAACAAACATGTACGTGTGTTTTTCTGAATTAAACACAAAAAGCGCACTTGAAGGAAGAGATCATGATCGTGTAAAAAATATTTGTTAATCTAGTATCGTTTTGGATTGTATGTCCGTCCGAAGAATTGATAACGCTCTCAAATTTTCATATTGATATCACGTGACTCGGAAATACACTGTCAAACAATAACAGATACTTTAATCATTGTCTCGCTGCAATAATGTTATATGATATGCATATTTTGGACTAAATTGACCAATTGCTGAGAAAACCAGTCTCAAAATGATCGAACGTGACACAAATACAATTCCGTCCCAAAATTAGTAACGTTCGCATGTTTCAAAATCCATTCCAATTTTTTTACCTAGCCTCTCGCGAGATTACAATTTCTTTCCGGATGTTGACATCAAAGCAATGGAATCTGACAACGAAAATCGCAAACTCAAGGTAAGGAATATTCATCGGACTTGGTTATTTATGGGATGGAATATATATTGAGAATGTTATTTATGGGATGGAATATATATTGAGAACGTTATTTATGGGATGGAATATATATTGAGAACGTTATTTATGGGATGGAATATATATTGAGAATGTTATTTATGGGATGGAATATATATTGAGAACGTTATTTATGAGATGGAATATATATTGAGAATGTTATTTATGGGATGGAATATATATTGAGAACAGTATTTATGGGATGGAATATATATTGAGAATGTTATTTATGGGATGGAATATATATTGAGAACGTTATTTATGGGATGGAATATATATTGAGAACGTTATTTATGGGATTGAATATATATTGAGAACGTTATTTATGGGATGGAATATATATTGAGAATGTTATTTATGGGATGGAATATATATTGAGAACGTTATTTATGGGATGGAATATATATTGAGAATGTTATTTATGGGATGGAATATATATTGAGAATGTTATTTATGGGATGGAATATATATTGAGAACGTTATTTATGGGATGGAATATATATTGAGAACGTTATTTATGGGATGCAATATATATTGAGAATGTTATTTATGGGATGGAATATATATTGAGAATGTTATTTATGGGATGGAATATATATTGAGAATGTTATTTATGGGATGGAATATATATTGAGAACGTTATTTATGGGATGGAATATATATTGAGAATGTTATTTATGGGATGGAATATATATTGAGAACGTTATTTATGGGATGCAATATATATTGAGAATGTTATTTATGGGATGGAATATATATTGAGAATGTTATTTATGGGATGGAATATATATTGAGAATGTTATTTATGGGATGGAATATATATTGAGAACGTTATTTATGGGAATGAGAATGTTATTTATGGGATGGAATATATATTGAGAACGTTATTTATGGGATGGAATATATATTGAGAATGTTATTTGTTGGATTGAAAATATATTGATATCGTTATTTATGGATGGACAATAATAATATACTGAGAATGTGAGAATGATTTGGCAAAGTAGCAGGCCTACTAAATTCGTTTTTAATTTTTTTTTAGGTAAATCAATTTTAGTATAGGACTAGGAGGGTGAAGGGGTCTAATTTAAGGTCTATGGGCCTGTTATTTTTCTAAAAGTCTATAGCATAGTCCAAGGTAGTACTAGGCAAGAATGTTGAAACACATTTACAATGTTATTAAATAACCCCTCTTTCCCCTGAAAATGCCATTCATTCTTTGCATCCACCTTCTTGAATTTGTTTGGACTTCTGTATTCCTCAGTTTTGTATGCCGGTACTTTCTTTAACAAGACAGGAGTATTTGAAGATTTTTTGTAGGCCTATTTCTTAGATTGCAATTTCATAATTTCAAATTAAATAAACTTTAAACTTTTTTCTTTTTTAGTCCAAATTAAGTTCATCAACTGAATATAGAAGAAAGCAGAAGGTTAATGATCCTGAAAAATATGAGAAGTATTTAACGTATCAAAAAGAACAAGGGAAAAAAAACCGAAGTGAGCTTAAAAAGAGATTGAATAAATCAAAACCAAGTAAAAAAGATGTTGAAACACAAGAAAAAATCAAACTTCAGAATCGAATTCGTCAAGAAAAATTTAGAAGAAAAAAACAAAACAAGACTAAACAGAAAAGTACCAGTACATCATCAAGTGCTTTAATAAAAGTTTCATTTAAACATGTTACATGTCAAGAGAAAGTAAATCAAAATGAAAAGGGGAGAACAGATAAGTAAACTTTTCGTGATAATTTAAAATTGAATCCTCAAAAGTACAGACGGTTTAAAGAAAAAGACAGAAACAGAAAAAGGCTCAACAGAACACTAAAGCAGAAGAGAAACCAAAACCAATGTAATAAAAGAATTGACAATGAAGATTTCAAATCTCCAAAGACCAAATGGAACGTTATTTCAAATGTTCGCAAGAACCTCCCCAAAACAGTGTAGTTGAGGGACTCATAGCAAATTCTTCTCCGAGAAAACGTCAAGCCCTACACAACATTAAAGGCACACACAGTAATTTTGAATCAAGTCTGAAGTCAGCCATTGGTAAATTAAAGACAACACCAGATGGTAAGAAGGCTGTTAAACTTTTGTCGTCAGCCATGTTACAAACACCAATGAAAGAAAAGCACTTAAAGAAATTGGGGGTGTCTAAAAAACGATTAAGCCATCCTTTCATCCGAAAGCAAAGAAATGATTCCATTCCAACAAGTGTGAAGAATGAAGTGTACAGGTTCTTTTTGTTGCCAGAAATTTCTCGAGCTTTACCTCACAAGAGGTATGTCACCAAATATGGATCAGGATATCTGCTTCTAACTTCACTTGCTGCTGCATACAAGTTATTCAAAAAACAAGAGCCAGATATCAAATTAGGATTTAGGAAATTTGTTGAATTGAAACCAAAACAAGTACGTCTACTAAAGAAGTCATATTGGGATGCTTGTGTTTGCCCTTATTGTATTAATATTTCGTACAAGTTGAATGTTCTAAATAGATATGTTGGAGAAGAAAAACAACTGAAAAATGAACATGACTTATTTGACATGTTGTTGTGTTCGTACACAAATCGTTTTGCAGATGCCCAGTGTGTTAATGGTACATGTAACAAATGCTCAGATTATGAATCAACCTTAACTGAATATTACAATGTTGATTTTTCACAGAATGTCACATGGACACATTGGGAAAAGGTCCATTCCAATGGAAAAACTAAAAGGGATCTTGTGATTATCGAAGGAAATTTACAAAATCTCTTTGATGAATTTGTTCAAGATATAATTCAGCCATTGCAAGGAGAATCATTTATCTGCCATCTCTTTACAGCAAATTGGCAATTTGCTCAATTTAAAAGATTAAAACAAAATCTTCCTCAAAACTGCTTGTTGATGATCATGGATTTTACCCAAAACTATGCAGTTATTTTACAGGATGCCATAAAATTACAAGCCTTTACCCACAAGCAGATCACCATACATCCAATTGTTGTGTTCTACAAAAATAAAGATCTGGTTCTTGTAAGAGATTCGCTTATATTTATCACAGATGACAAAAAGCATGACTTTCATGCTGTGAATCACTTTAAAACTTTAGCCAAGGAGTATTGTTTACAAAATATAGACTAACATATAGACAGAACAATTATCTTTAGCGATGGTTGTGCTTCACTGTACAAGAGTAAGGGACCATTTTTTGACATTTCTAATTTGTTTGCTGCAAATGAGCATCATTACTTTGGCTCTGAACATGGTAAAGGAGAGTGTGATGGGGAGGGGGGAGTGATAAAAAAATGCCATCACTCGAGCGGTGATAGGTAGGAAAATCATAGTACAGAAAGCAAAAGACATGTTTATGTATTGCATAGAAAACCTCTGTCTTGATGATCCCACTTCAAAACGCCATTTCTTTTTGGTTGAGGAGACCGATATCAATCAATTAAGACCAGAATCTGAGCAGCTACGTCCATTACCAGGTACACGAAAAATTCATGAAGTAAGAAGTACATCAACCCCATACCAAGTATGTGTAAGAAAGTTGAGTTGTTTTTGTGGGAAAACCTGTTATTGTAATGGTACAGATTGCGTCAATAAAGATTATACTGGTGAATTTATTAGACATGCACTTGTCACATTTAAAACATCAGATGGTAACTTTGAAGATATTCTGAAAGACTTAGCATCTACAAACGACCAAGTTAAATATGTTCAGAAATGTCTGGTATACAGTAACAAAATACCCCCCATTGAAGACATATTGTGTCCATCAGTTCTACAAATAAAAGGGGTTATGGATAAAGTTGCTTTGGACCTTCTTCCTGAACTCTGCCTTCATGAAAAACTCTTTCCAGTTAGAGTTATTGGAGATGGGAACTGTTTACCTCGCAGCCTCAGTGTTGTGGTATATGGTGATGAGAAACATGCTGCTGAAATGAGAGTCAGGATAGCGGTAGAACTCAGTCTACATAAAGCAAAATATTTAGATAATCAACATTTGTCATTGGGATTACCGGTAGAAGAAAGTTCAACCAAATTCGTGAATATATTCACAATGTTTTCCCCATTTTATATTCCACCTACCAAACTTACCAAAGACGTTATTGAAAAAGTTTTTATCGAGGAAGCTATGGAAACCGCTGTTAATGGATCCTACATGGTAATCTGGCACCTATTTGCTTCAAGTTCCATCATTGGATATCCTATTTATTCTGTTTATCCTGAACGTGGAAACCCTAATATTCGACATGACCTACACAGAATTATACACCCAATAATTCCAAAGAGAGAAGAAAAAATTATATATATTATGTGGTCTACCTGTCGCACTGATATGACGATGGAACATTGGATACCTAATCATTTTGTTCCTTTGCTTCCTCTGGAAATTAAACTTCCTCAAGGTTAGTACTTACTAAAGTAATTTCATGTACCATTAGTACAATACAATATAACTTAATACTTTCACTGTTCAAATAGTGCTCAATACATCTAACACGTTGATATCCTGGCCCAACTGAAAATAAGTAGTATTCTGATATTATAAATGATGACACATTAATTTTGAAACAGATCATTCATGATATTTTGTTGTTCAATTATATCTCGGTAGCAATGTTGTCCAATAAAATTGTTTTAGTCATGAATGTGAAAAATTTAAATGTGCTTCACCATTTTTAAAGAATTATGAACGTTTATGTATTTCAGGCTTAATTGAAGATGTTTGTATGGTTAATGCTTGTAACATTGAATTAAATAGTCATGGTATGTAGATTGTACCGATATGTAATTATTTTTTAATATAGAAATCCATTCTTGCTACCAGGTTAAAACTCATCAGTTTTTTGGCATGCTTATTCCTAGTTTCATGCAGAAAAATGGGACTTTTAACACGACAGGATCTGCTATTTTATGCTCAATAAGTTTTTTGAGGTTTATGAATTATTTAATTTTAGATGAAGTTCCAATGAAAATTGAACAACATTTAAACGAGTTGTTTACAGATCTCGCTTCTGATGATACCGGTGAATATATGTTTGATATGACCACCAGTCCGATTATAGAAATGGAGCCGTATGGTGTTGACAACAAAGTGTGCAAATCTAGGTATGTATTCCTAATACACATCTCTTTTCTTGACAAATTTCATTTCATAACAGGAGACTTGCAACTTCACTACAAATATTAGTACAATTCTTATACAATCTTGATGCTTGAACTTTGTTACATTTTTTTAATATCTGTGTAATATTATATAGATTAAAGACTGGCATGTTTGTGCTTATTGCACTTCCGTATGTCTCTAGAAAAAGAGACAAAGAAAAACTTTTTGTAGCTGAGGTAACTTAATTGAGTTAAATGTGTTCGAAATTAATTAAATTTGTTTGAATTATTTTGTTTGTTATTTTTAATGTTGGTGTTCCAAAGATTTTTTTTTATTACATACTTGCCTATCTATGGTATAATAGAGAGATATGTCATACTTGCCAGCATATTTTCTACAAATTGATGCTATTTGGAATTTCCTTTGTCAATTGTTATTTATATATCAATGATCAATCAAATTTTTAACTAGCATGGATATCGTGTCTATTAAATAATTGGATTATGTTAAATTTTTTCAGATTCTTGATGTCAAAGAAGAGAATCTTTGGTTAAGATATATGGTCAAACAGGATAATAGAAAATATGTGTGGCCTGCAAAAGAAGACTGTTCACTAGAGCCAATTGATAGGGTTAAAAAGGTTTTGAGTTCGCCATTGCCAACTGTGGTAATGTTACATAGAACTATTTTTATGCCTGTTGAGAATGTTACTTTCCATCCTTATTTTGAGAACGTTACTCTTTGTCCATCCACTATAACGTTATCAATTTTTTGTTACAAACTGTTGTATTTCTGATATTTTCATTAATGAATTCAAATAAACAGTAACTTCTGATATTAAACACATTTAGCTGTTATCAAATTGTTAAATCAATATAATTTATCTCTTTGTTGCATTGATACAGTATAAATATGCAACAAATGTCCATCTTTTTCTTTGTTGTACAAATTTTAATATTAAGTGATCAAACCACTTAAAAAATATTAAATATTCATGTGAAAATATTAAGCAGAGTATCGTATTAGTACCTTAAACTAGATATAACTTTTAGAAACTGAATATAATTGGTGGTTTAGGATACTTGTTTTATCCTCAGTCAAATTTGTGAATTTAGGTGGTGCAATAAAAACACTATCCGCTTGTCTGGTGATAAACAATTTATCTTATAATATTCATTTTTGCTTTATTGAATGATGTCTCCAGATGGATGAAAAAAGTTTTAAGCTCTACAGTCACTTTTATTTTTATCTACTCTTTGGGAGTTAATGGTGCCTTTACTATAGCCATATGAATGAAGGTTATGTCTTCTTTCTAAAAATAATCAAATACCTATTGAGTGAGTGAGGCTAGGCCCAGTCTAATAAAGATTTAGACAAAACATCCCTTCGTAGTTCATTAGTTTCGTCCCAAATGTTTACAATTTTTACATACAAGGCTAATAAAAATACGGAACGAAACTAACGAAATATGAACCAAAGTTTGGTGTAATTCTACTTAATGGACTGGGCTAGGCCTAATGCCACATCTGCAAACTATGCCTAGTGACAAGATATGATAATATAAGTATTGTTTTGCTTGTATTTTTTTTCTTTGATATTTAGGCCTAGTAGATCTAAGCCCATCTTTTTTTCTTTTCTTTTTGTAACTGGTGGGTCTGGGTGAAGCCTGTTCTCATGTTGCCGCTTTACTCTTTGCTGTAAAGGCTTCTGTGGAATTGAAAGAATCTGTGACTGTCCCACAAAAACCGGCATATTGGATGTTACCAAGTGTAGTTAAAAAAATTCAGTATAGTGAAATAAGAGACATAGACTTTACATCATCAAAGACATTTTTAGGCACTAAATCTGTTGTGTTGGCAACTATCGATCCATATTCTAATGACTTTGTTCCAAAACCAGTTAGTCAACATTTTCCATCTGTTTTAACAGAGTTACGTGTAGAGGAAAGCTGCAGTGCAAACTTTCGCGATTTGTCAATAAAATCTGTAAATCTGTGCAAATATCAGTTACTGAGGAACAAGCAAAACTTGTAGAAAAAGAAACAAGATTACAGTCAAAAACTAAACTGTGGAATCGATTCAGGGCAGGTCGAATTACTGCCTCTAAGGCAAAATCTGTTTGTGACACAGACATAGATAATCCATCTGTCAGTTTAATCAAAACTGTGTGCTATCCGGAATCAGTAAATTTCACCAATGCTGCTACACGATGGGGATGTGATCGTGAAAAGGTGGCAATTGAAAAACTTATTTCAACAATTGAATTAAGACATGAAAATGTAGTTTTTGAAGAATCTGGATTAGCTTTAAATCCTAAATTTCCATAAATGGGAGCCTCTCCAGGTGTGGGATTATTTCTTGTGATTGTTGCGGTAAATTTTGCAAGTCAAGTGCACTTATTCCAAAAAAAATGAAAAGTTAAGTGATATCAGTCAGTGACAAGAATTTTCATCTGCATTTTGTAGATTGACAGTTAACACTAAAAAAGAATCATCAATATAACTACCAGATCCAAACACATCTTAGGATGTCAAATCTTGAAAACTGTTATTTTGTAGTTTGGACAAATGTTGATCTCCATGTTGAAGTTGTTGACTTTAATTTAGATTTATGGCATTTAATCTGTGAAAAATCACAAAAGTTTTTTCAAATTGCAGTTTTACCTGATTTAGTAGGTAAATTTTACTCCAGGATTGGATCTGAAAAACCTGTATCATCGCATCCATCGGTACTTAAACCTTAAGTTCCATTATCTAACTCAACTGATATAAATACTCAAAATTCTGACACAAGAAAATTGGTGCTACTGTGATCAAGACGAATTCGGTTCAATGATTTGTTGTGACAATCAAAATTGTGAAATACAATATAATTGTGTTGGAGTGGAAACGGCCCCAAAAGGAAAATGGCATTGTCCAGACTGTAGAAAGTTAAAATCCAAAGCTAAGAGACCTTTGAAAAATGCTAAGCAGTGATTTAGGCAAAGATCTGAATTTGAAAATTTGTATTAATTTAATTTATATATATGTTGAATTTGCAAAAACGATATAAAATTATATTACTTGTTATAAGGTGTCTTATATGTAACCTTTTGTTATTTAGTGTTCCCGGTCAAGGCTGCTGTATTCAGAGGAAAAAGAATAATTAATAAAATTACAATACTACTAAAAGAACATTTTTATGTCTATCAATAAGACATTATTACAAAGCACATACATAATTGCTGCATAAGTCAACAACAGAAGGACATAAATTTACAAGCGCACAACAGATGTGGGCAATTTTGTCTAACATTTTCACCAGGCTTGCATGCTAACAAATCAATTCAAATGGCAGCACTTAAAATAGTATATTTTTGTCTCACATTGCCAATAACCCTCTCCACATGAATTCTTACATTTGCAAGCTTTCTCGTGTTTTCAACTTTAAAGAGGGGAAAGTTGAGCTTTTCCTTTTGTAAAAGCAGGAATACACAATTCTGCACACATGCTACCTAAGTGGCAGCTATATCAAATCCTCTATCGGCAAGAACAAGATCTCCTGGTAGAATATTTGACAAGAAACCACTATTTTCTGTTACATGTTTGTCACTGGTTCTGCCACCCCAACCTTTAGAAATAAATGACACAGATCCCGGTGGCATAATACCTATAAGAAATTTGACTGTGTTGTGATGTTTGTAACTTGACCATTTTGCTGCATTTGCAAGAAGGTTGGATGGGCGTTCAATAAAACCTTCAAAACAATCTATTATTACAGCAACTCTTGTACCAAAATGTTTTCTAAATTGCATAGGCATAGTTTTTTTTTAACTCCTCGCGTTCAGGCCAACGTACAACTCCTTTTAATTTGATGTAAATGATGTCAATTACTTCAGAAAAATATCGTGTAACAGAACTACGTGAAACATTGAACTCATGGGCTAATAACTGGATGGGTAAGTTTAAACGGAGTCTCATAAAACACAATAACAATAGCTGAAATTTATCAAGTTTTGGCTTTGTTGGCAAATATGGTTCCAGGAATGTATACAATCCATTTAGTAACACGAAGGAAGGCAAACCAGTAAAATATTTCACTATCTCATCATTTTCCTTAAACTCATCCATGTTAAATTTAGCTGACACTGTTGCCACTTCCTTCCTTAGGCTCATATTCTCAATTCGTAGAGAGTGAATTTCATCTGCCATCGCGTCAAACAACTGCATGTCTACATCTGTCTGTGTAGCCATTCCAGTCTCTGACTGATTACTTTCTACATCTTCTTTGTGGTTCAAAAGTTCAGGTAAAGATGAAGCAGCATTCATCTTTTCAGTCCTGTTTTTTTTACGCTGATACCTTTTATTAGCTGCAGGAGATTTAATATTACGCTTGGCAAACGATAATAACTTCTTTTAATCTCCTCATCATCCTCTGATCGGTTGTGGCAACCTTCTATGTTGCAATAATTTCCCTTATTATCAGTCTATAAGAGAATTAGATCGAAGGATGGAATCGATAGGTATAGAACACTTCAAAAGCCACTTGCCATTGAGAACTACAACCAGTACATAGGTGGTGTAGACCAATCAGACCAGCTTAATTCCTACTATTTGTTGTCCCACAGTTCGATGAAATGGTGGAAAAAGGTTTTCTATCACCTACTGATTACAGACGTATCCAATCCATATATACTACACAAGTCCTCTGTAGCACCCAACTGTAAAGTGAAAAGTTTTGAATTTAGACTACAATTAGTACATGGCCTTTTCAGAAGCTACCAACCTTCCTTGATATCACAGCAAGGTCATCCATCAAACACAGTTGATCCACCACACAGATTAAATGGACAATTGCATTATATGGAGAAGATCAATGGAAAACCAGATTGTAGAGTGTGTACAATAAGATCTGCAGAGAAAAAGTACTTACATCGAAAGCAGACCAGACATCAGTGCAAGACCTGTACACCAAAGATCCCATTGTTTGACATACCATGTTTTGAACTTTACCACAGTATAGTAGATTACAAAAGCTATTAGCAGAAGAATTACAATAATACTGAGTAAAGCCTTCAGCGCATTACTGAATAATACCAAGTTTTGTCAAAATCCAGCAAGAATCATGTCTTTTAGTGTTAGAGAGCTAAAATTTGAAAGCGTTTTCAAGAACGAGGCCAATAACTCCTATGAAACATATTTAGATTTTTTTGATTTTCAATAGAGTTCATCCATGGGTGATAATAGACAATTTAATCAAATTTCAAGATTAACAACATCGATGAACTATGGCCGTCTATGGACAGCGATGAAAAAGGATATAACACTAAGTGTTTTCTACATTGACAGTAATTAATTCTATGTCATCAGCACCTTTCAAATCTGAATTCCTTCTATCCCTTAATTCTACGTCATCAGCATCTTTCAAATCTGAATTCCTTCTATCCCTTAATTCTATGTCATCCGCACCTTTCAAATCTGAATTCCCTCTATCTGTAAATTCTATGTCATCAGCATCTTTCAATTCTGAATTCCTTCTATCAGTTAATTCTATGTCATCAGCATCTTTCAAATCTAAATTCCTTCTCTCTGTTAATTCATCATCATATGCACCTTTCAATTCTGAATTCCCTCTATCTGTAAATTCTATGTCATCAGCACCTTTCAAATCTGAATTCCCTCCATCTGTTAATTCTACGTCATCAGCATCTTTCAATTCTGAATTCCTTCTATCTGTAAATTCTACGTCATCAGCATCTTTCAAATCTAAATTCAATCTATCTGTTAATTCTACGTCATCAGCACCTTTCAATTCTGAATTCCCTCCATCTGTTAATTCTATGTCATCAGCACCTTTCAATTCTGAAATCCTTCTATCTGTTAATTCTACGTCATCAGCATCTTTCAAATCTGAATGCCCTCTATCTGTTAATTCTACGTCATCAGCACCTTTCAAGTCTGAATTCCCTCCATCTGTTAATTCTACGTCATCCGCACCTTTCAAATCTGAATTCCCTCCATCTGTTAATTCTACGTCATCCGCACCTTTCAAATCTGAATTCCCTCCATCTGTTAATTCTACGTCATCGGCACCTTTCAAATCTAAATTCCCTCCATCTGTTAATTCTACGTCATCAGCACCTTTCAAATCTGAATTCCCTCTATCTGTAAATTCTACGTCATCAGCACCTTTCAATTCTGAATTACCTCGATCTGTAAATTCTACGTCATCAGCACCTTTCAATTCTGAATTCCCTCTATCTGTAAATTCTACGTCATCAGCATCTTTCAAATCTGAATTCCCTCTATCTGTTAATTCTACGTCATCAGCACCTTTCAATTCTGAATTCCCTCCATCTGTTAATTCTATGTCATCAGCACCTTTCAATTCTGAATTCCTTCTATCTGTTAATTCTACGTCATCAGCATCTTTCAAATCTGAATGCCCTCTATCTGTTAATTCTACGTCATCAGCACCTTTCAAGTCTGAATTCCCTCCATCTGTTAATTCTACGTCATCCGCACCTTTCAAATCTGAATTCCCTCCATCTGTTAATTCTACGTCATCCGCACCTTTCAAATCTGAATTCCCTCCATCTGTTAATTCTACGTCATCAGCACCTTTCAAATCTAAATTCCCTCCATCTGTTAATTCTACGTCATCAGCACCTTTCAAATCTGAATTCCCTCTATTTGTAAATTCTTCGTCATCAGCACCTTTCAATTCTGAATTACCTCGATCTGTAAATTCTACGTCATCAGCACCTTTCAATTCTGAATTCCCTCTATCTGTAAATTCTACGTCATCAGCATCTTTCAATTCTGAATTCCCTTTATCTGTAAATTCTACGTCATTATCTGGCAACTCTAACTTTTCGGTACTCTCTGGGTTTTCTCTTCCAAGCAGTTGAAAATCATGCCCTTCCAAGGCCCATTTGACATCATTCTGAAACTCAATTGCTGTACGGGATAGTTTCTTCTTGTGTAATTTATCTGTAAATGACAAAAAAGAAAAAAAAATTATAACCACAACAATGTATATCTGATAGGCATAGATCAGTAGGTCATGTAGTTCGGATATTGTAGGGTTTCTCGAAGTAGTTTAACCAAGTTTAAAAAGAATGCACTACCTGCTGTTTGTTTCCAAAAAAAATTAAATTAAAAAAAAAAATCCAATTTCATAGCCTCACTGATATGGACAAATAGCCACATAAGTCCATATTATCTAGATCATCAAGGTCATGTCAGTTTGGAGTAAAATTCGGAGGTATGAATTTAACCAGGTTTATAAAGAATGCACTACCTGCTGTTTGTTTCCAAAAAAAATACGAATTTAAAAAAAAAAATCCAATTTCATAGCCTCACTGATATGGACAAATAGCCACACAAGTCCATATTATCTAGATCATCAAGGTCGTGTCAGTTTGGAGTAAAAGTCTGAGGTATGAATTTAACCAAGTTTATAAAGAAAGCAAAAAAAAAATCCAATTTCATAGCCTCACTGATTTGGACAAATAGCCACATAAGACCATATTATCTAGATCATCAAGGTCATGTCAGTTTGGAGTAAAATTCTCAGAAATTTACATTAAATATGAAACATATTAAATTAAATAAATTCCGAAAAATATATAACTAACATGTAAATGGTAAAATAAATGTCATTTAAACAATAACAGACATGCTAACGAGAATTCAATACCTAAACAATCTTGCTCAATTTGTTTTACATTCCCGGGGAAAGGAAAAACATCACATTTTTTCACATCCATGCTGTAATTGGAAACCAAATTTGTGTGGAAAATAATATTATTAATAATAATGATGCACACAGATGAACCAAGCCACAAATCAAATATCCGAAAATTTGTCCATTTAAAACTTTCATAAACGAAACTGAAGTGGATAATCTCACACAATATTTGTCATTCTTTGGTTTACAAAAAACATTTTTTCATAAATTTATCAAAAAAAATACTTACATAGCATTGTCACTCTTCACATTTACAAAACTTTCTCAGGAAAAAATTCTACAATTTTTACAGGCCACATCACACACACACCTTTCAGTTAAGCCCATCCGAACCTAGTTATACATTCCAATAATTAAAATCTGTGGGAACTGTGGCAATTATTCATTTCAATCAGTGTTTAGACTTGAGGTAAAAAGTAACTCAAAACCTGAACCGGTGCTCGGTTGACTCAGTAGACAAATTTTGTTGGTTAACTCGGAGACAAAATACAACTAGGTAACAATATTTGAAGAGTTCTGAACCTACCTGCTAGACATTGTTTCCATGTCTGTTTTCAATTCTGAACTTAAATTACTCGTCTCTCTCAAAGAGCTGTAATGAATAATGTACAGTACAAGATTTATTTGTGTCCTTACAATAGTTACAGCCACAGATGTAAATCGACTTCTCCCCTGGCCCTGTGCACTCCCGACCGGACACAGGCCCAGAGAAACAACACATCAATGATGTTGTCCCTCCAGATCCAGTAGTTCTATAAATAGTTCTTATGCACGACATCAAAGGCATTGAAAAACTAGGTTAACCAGACGGAATGGAGCCAATATTGTAACAGTTTCGAAAAGATCAAAGGACCGAGAATGAATTTATGGTGATGTTGATGGGTTAGTTTTATATCAGTTATTATGAACATAACGCGAAGTATCTCGTAACTAGGTAACAATTTTTCAAACAATAAAAATATAACTCGGACCACTATTTTCAAGACTTTGTACATTTAACATGCAAACCTGGACCACTTTTTTTTAGATTCAGGCCAATGACTATGTAGACGTTGTAAACAAATTGAATTTGAAAGTATTTTAAAAGCTTGAGTCTTTCAGGAATTATTATGGATAAATATGTGTATTGTAGGCCTAATGGGCAGAGAAAGTTCTCTTATATTTCCGTATTCTGATATCAATAGATCAATGTATATAAAAAAAAAACACGGAAAGAAAAATGGGTGCAATTGCAATGACAGTTTTATCAAAATATTCATTGGTTTACAATTATTGAATGGTAGTGTTGGAATAAAATCTTAAAGCTGAGCGTAGATTGTGAAAGCAACAGGAGCCTATATAATTGAGCTGGAAAAATGGTTCCGATCTTGAAATCAAGGACAGTTGTAGAGTTATGTAAATTTATTGTTCATTCTAAACAAAGGCTACTTGAATCAACTTATTATAACTCATTATAAGATTAGATTACTAAAATATACTGGCCTGTAGGAGTGTGTAGGCTAGCAGACGACATGATTTGAGTATTTTTAATGCTCAAAGTTAATAATTTAAAGTTGAAAAGTGGTCCGAGTTTTGTGATGATCAAAGTTTAAAATTTTTACAAAATAGTAAACAAATCACATCAGGCAGAGGCCGAACCATCTTTAAGAAAGATTGCGGCAATTTTTCTTATGTTAAGGAGGAGTCGTTCCACTTACCACAATCCCTTATGCTTATACAGCGAAAAAAACATCTTGCACCGTTTCAACATTTTCTTGTTTTCCAAAAATGATGGTTTGTCAGGAAAACAAACCAAATACCCATTGTCATAACTATGAACATGTAAATGAGCATGAAATCCAAATTCCGGATAGTCCAATACAAATATGGCGGGCATTTCAGTTCACTGAACACGTGCTAAGAATTTGCCTATGTGTAATGGCGTCAACTACGAAGTCCGTAAAATGAGTTTCGCTCAAAAAGCAATTTAGGACGACAATCAGCACAACGATAATAGGAACCCAATAATTTAATAAAAAAAATTACATGGATTCAAATATAGGCTAACACCCTGTCTGAAAATATTATGAGAGCGCTCAACTCATAGAAATAGAAGATCCGATAAGCCCTTTTTTTTTTTAAGTCTATGCTCATATTATATAAAAATATAATATTCAAAATGGAATTATATACAGACGAATTGAGCAAATTTGCGTGATTTAAAAATATAAGGCAAATAAAAATCCGTACCAACGCTTTCTTTTTTTATTCACCATAACAATTTTCCAGATTATTACAGCATGTAGTTGGACATCTAACCTTTGCGTGGTTTTTCTCTTCGGCGCATGCGCCGTCATACATTCATCTGATCAATGAACCAATCGAAAAATTACGACCGCGAAACCATGACGTAATATAATACGTCACAGATCATCCACGTTAACGTTGATGCAAGGGAGGTAACTGAAGTTGATAGGCCTTGGACAACTTAAGGATGTCCAACAAAATGTTTTCCATGATAAAGTGTCTACTTTTTTAAAGTGTTTAATTTAAGCCACATTAATTCTAAAATATGTGTCCAAAAAGTTATTTTAAGTGGCTAGCGACATAAAAGAATTTAGCCACACAATTATCAGTGATACTCAGGAGTATCCACATAAATTACCTCTTGTAAACACGGACGGATGGACGGACAGAGGTGACGGCAATATACGTCCACATTTTCATGTGGGCGTATAAAAAGGACATCAGAGGCATATGTATGCAGTTCCCCGCCCAATAAAACCTCAAAAGTCAAGTAGAAGTCTTTCACAAACAAATAAACCGCTTTGTTTACATGTGTGCCCTGTCAAGCCATTAAACACCTTCTCTTATATTATATTATTACGTATTAGACACTATTTTTCAACATTGACCCTATTTCATTATTATTGACAGAACGTCAAGGACCTATGTATATACCTACTTATTGATTTCATGGCCTTTTTGAGTTTTATCGCATTTTTTTTCTCACACATCTTAATCAGTTGCGTTCGGACATTTTCAGTGTTGTTGGTAAAAAAAACGGTATTATGGAAATCGTTCCTGTCCGTTTGCATTACCATATTAAAATAAGGACTTTGGGTTTTTTTGCTTCTTTTTGGTGGCGAAACTGAATGCACAAATCCTTCGAAATCTTCTAATTCCTCTCGCCCTTTCTTCATAGGCGTTGATGGCTTAGATTCAGATTGTGCCATTTTCAAAGTAAAAGTGAAGTGATTTCGCTAGCTTTTTTCAGGTGGGAAAACACCGGAAGTAAAACTTTTTGTGCTGCGTTCGACCTGTTTACCACTTTCTTGCAATTCATCTGCCAAAATAAACACCGTTCGAACAAAAGTCACAACTTCATCTACTAACACAACATACAATCGATATCAACAACTTTCATCAATATCTACTTGCATATTTGACGATTTTTTGGAACTTTGACTTTTTTTATATACGTGGTTTTCGCAATTTTTAACCGTATCCTAGCTAGCAGACCAATGTTCCGCAAACGTTTAGGGAACGTTCAACTAAGGTCGAATGTTCAAAGTTCAGAAAACATACTTTTGAAAAATTGAAATATATTTCAGCACTATTTTGGGTATTTAGATTAATAGTACAACACTGATCTAATTTTTCAAGACGTTTGGATTGTATTCAGCATCTTGCTGAAATGTTGTCTTCATGGGTTTGCTGAACGTTCTATGAACGTTCTCCTATGATGTGACTTAATGCCGTAAAAGAATATTCTCTTGTCTAGTTTTGAAGGTGTATTATACATTGTTTTGATGAATTAAACATTGCATTATTGTATTAAAAAAAAAAAAAATTCAAAGAGCCATTAATCGATATCCAGCAAGAATTCATGCACATATATATTTTATTTTATTTTTTTGGGGGGAAGGGGGGGCTGTGAGAACAAAAACTCATATTAGATAAGATGATAAGATTTTTTGTATATATATGTTGACAGCATACAATTTAAACAGTTTAAAGATTTACAATGATACAGGATAGAACAAAATATAGTACAAAAGCAAAATATGTTAGACCAGTGCTTAATACATTAACTTTAGGGTGATATAAAAATATCACTATTAGAATAGTGCTTAATTTAATACATTATCTTTTTACTGTTAAAATAGTGCTCAATACATAAATTGTAGAGTGATATAGAAATACCACTGTTAAAATAGTGCTCAATATATCAATTGTAGAGTGATAAAGAAATACCACTGTTAAAATAGTGCTCAATACATTAATTGTAGAGTGATAAAGAAATACCACTGTTAAAATAGTGCTCAATACATCAATTGTAGAGTGATATAGAAATACCACTATTAAAATAGTCCTCAATATATCAATTGTAGAGTGGTAAAGAAATACCACTGTTAAAATAGTGCTCAATACATTAATTGTAGAGTGATATAGAAATACCACTATTAAAATAGTCCTCAATATATTAATTGTAGAGTGATAAAGAAATACCACTGTTAAAATAGTGCTCAATACATTAATTGTAGAGTGATATAGAAATACCACTATTAAAATAGTC